TTCGGGAACTGAAAATCTTAATAAGTACTGAATATACCTAGCTAAGCTCAAGCATGAGAGAGAGAGAGAGAGAGAGAGAGAGAGAGAGAGAGAGAGAGAGAGAGAGAGAGAGAGAGAGAGAGAGAGAGAGAGAGAGAGAGAGAGAGAGAGAGAGAGAGAGAGAGAGAGAACATGAATATCCCACGTCTCTTGTCTGAATTATTGCTCTTTGATTAAATCTGAATGAAATATGGTGCAGATAATTACTGACAAAAATAAAAGAGGCTGTATCAAAATTTCAAAGAAATCTGATAAAATGGTCTATATCAGGCCACGAATGACAAGTTATTGGTTGAGACATCTTTTAAGAACTCCTCACAAGAGAATTATTATGAGAACTAAATCGTCAGAAAATCGTCTAAAAAAAAGAAAAAGGTTCCACTTGAATATAAATCTGATAAAGCCGTAGACTATATACTCTTTCACTGCCAGAGAGTTACAAGATTGAGACAATGACACTTCAGCATGATCAGATTATAGCCATTATCAATTTCAGAAACACTTAACAGACACAGCTCTCAATCTAGTTGTAAACATTTTTTTTTCAATCAAATCTGAGAAACTGGCGACTTCCTCATCTTGACGATAAGCAAATGTGATACCAGATCTAAACCTGCAAAACTGAGCTTTTCTACATTCTCCCTAGAACATTAACAAATGGTCTGCAAAACCATGAAATGGATGTTAATAATAGATTTCTCTTGTATGTCGAATCCAATGAACTACTATTAGACATGTAATATGGATTCAGACGACTGAGAAGAACAATATACCATCTTGTCAGACTTAATGCATTTATTAGAGACGCTTTTATAAGTAAAGAATATATAGTTGCCGTCTTTATAAATTTGGAGAAGTGAAATTAATACATAATGAATGACCGATTCAGCATAGGCTTAAGAGTCCGTCTACCTGACTGTATCTCCAATTTTGTTTAACGATAAGAGATTCAAATTAAAGGTCGGAAGTACCCTTGTTGAAAGTTACCCTCATGAGATGGGTATATCCGAGAGCAGCACTCTGTGATTCACCCTCTAATTCAACATCGAGTTCGTCCTCAATATTAACAGGAAAGGGAAATATCTGACTCCATGAACTGGCTGCTCACCACATGTTGATGACTTCTATATCTCAGAGTATGCAAGTCATATTTGAGTCACAGTACTAATTCAACTCTCATAGAAAACATATGGAAACACCATCATATTTAAAATTCAATAACTTAAAATTTCAAGGTACTGATGATCAAACCTATATTTCTCCATGCACAACTATCCTTGGTGCAAACTTCTGTGTGGAGAACACCATATGAGCCGCGGCATTTTTTTTTTTTGACCTACATGTGCATGAAACACATGTTATTGATTCTGTACCAAAGGAATCAAGTGCTATTTTCATTATTGAGTAATCCTAAGTCAAGTCTTTAAAAATACTAAAATTGCATCAATAGGATTTTGTCTATATTTTGTTTAAATTACACATAATGTTAAGCTTTCAAATGATACTTTTACTAAAATTTTAATTTTCATTATTAACCAATTATGGACAACCAAACCCTTATATACTCTATTATTTCTTCACCCTTTTCTAGACTGGTTCATAGTTCTTCCATATAGTACCGTGTGTCCTATAGCGTCATGTACAGACAAGCGTAAACAATGTTTAGAAAAGTTCTGATGAAAACGGGTTCAAATTTTCGAAATCGTAAACTGTATGCACTCCTGTCACTTCTAGAAGATTCAAAGCTTGAACTTGACTGTCTTCTTATTCCAGCTGTGCACGAGACTATAACTTTTTTGTGTGTGTCCAATTTGGATTATTAACTAACATTTCTTCCGCATATTAGATACCTCAGAGAATCGTAAAATTTGGCAAATATGAGCAACGAAAACTCTATGAACAAACTTTAGAACGTCAAACCAATAATGGAGAGTGATTGTCCATTGTATAAAACAAGTCGGAGAGATGAGGTGAAATAGTGTCGATCGCATATTGGACACACATAGCTAATTCCTCCATAACTTCCGAAAGGTGAGCATTGTCCGAAGTGTATGCCCTGCAAGTGTCCGCTGATAATATAACACATTCATGTCATATCTATACATTTTTACCGTGTAAGGCCGTATTTTGACCTCAACTACTTGAATAAAGTGGAAGGACCACAAAAGAAAATATTCGATTGCAGTTTGTACAATAAATTTAATAATGTTTAATGATTTTTGCACGTTACCTTCATTGTTTAGTTAATATATATTTTTAAAGAACGTATTATATTCTTATACGCATCACGAAACATTTTTTTCCCTGATGATAGATTAATGGCTTATTCCTCGTTTAATACCAATGACATCGAATATGTACTGAAATCTGCTCTTTAAGCTATAGACCAATGGTCCAAACAATAATTAGAACGTTTTAACCCATGGAAGACTGAAATTATGTTGTTTTTTTTTTCTCTGACAAATTAGATCCAGTTTTTCCCGATCCTGAGTTCAAAATAAGCTTCTATATTTTGCTGAGCATCATACACATCTTGGTCGGACATTGATTAACTGTTAGCTTTTGGAAATATATTGATACTATCTGTTTACATGCATCAAAATGTAAGTGTTATGAGGCTCATTAAATAAAGTCTAGATAGGAAAACATGAGAAAGAATTTATCTCTGTCATATACGCCTCCTCTGGAGTATGCTGATATAATGGGATAATTGCTCTGAAGCTGATTTAAAAAGAAATGAAAGCCGTTATCTTGATTCTGGAAGAATTGTATCTGGACTTACCCGTAGCGCCACCAGTAATAATATTTACAGAGAAACCGGTTGGCTCTCATTTTCAGAAAGAAAAACATTTCATAAACTTTGTACCTTTTATAAAGTTTGATATGGTTCATCTCCCGCTTATCTCCAAGATCGTACCTTGGTTAGTTGGACACACAACATAATATAATTTGAGAAATAAATAAGACTTTCAACAAAGACATTCTGGATTAGAAATCTCCAGAATTTCCTATTTATCTTCCACATTTGAAACACTCTGCCGAATCCAGTAAAACATGAAACAAGTTATCAAATACTTCACCTACACATAATCAGGTTCTATTATAGTATTATACTAGTAATATGAATCCATAACTGTTCATACTAGGATATGAAGCACCAGCTCTGATTTAAATACTGATTTATTTTCAATTTTCTTGCTGATAGCTCACTGTGCACATGCTGAGAGGACGACGAAACTGTCTACCATTATATTTTTATTTCTAAGAAATATACAGTACCAAGACAGAGACAACTGCATTGCTTAAACCAATTAGTCATCCTTGTTAGTATTCATGTCTTGCTGTGTGGATCAGCTGAACTATCAAATGACATCAATACCTGTATCTTTGAAATCTTCCAGACTTGCATTAACGATTCTGAAAATTTTTGGTAATCCTCTAAGATAAACTACCTCCTAATGATCTCCCTCTAGTACCCGCCACAGAATCCCTTTACAGACTTCCCACTCCCCATCTCTTTTTTAAATTAGTTGTTATACACTTTTTTTGTCTTAGGTCTCACTAGATAGTTTAGTATTTTTTCAAGAACCCAATTATAATAACCCAAGCATTTATAAATTCACACTTAAGCTAAATCTGTAATGTTGTTTACATTTACTTTGAGTTAGGTTTGAAAATGGGTTGGCTTGTTTAGAGACTTCCTGTCGCAGTTAGACCAGCATTGAAGATCAAATGTGTAACTTGGACTGCAAATGAACAGCCGACTTGGCTTAAGTATTTGCTTATGTCTGCTAGAGAGATAAATATTTAAAAATGGAAATGGTTGAAGGGTGAGGAAAAGTATGCTAGTTTGTTATAGTATTAGTGAACTTTATTCATGGATAAGGCACATATGGTTTTTATTTTTTAGCAGTCTTGTCACAGGAAAATATTCAAAATAGATCATTGGTATCAAAAATGAATCTTAAAAAGAGGGGTTGATGACAGTTGGTTCAGTATAAAAGCTGCCAGTTGTATAAGGAATTAACATGATTGCTGCAGTCAAAATCTCACATGAATGCTTTCTACAAAAATCATTAGTTTGTTTTTACTTTCATCTTCAGTGTAAAAGTATTCTAATTTTTCTGCAATAGGTCATTGTCGGATGAAAATTCACTTGATAAACTGTCCAGTGAGACCTTAACTTTTCAAGTATGATTGACCTTTTTCTATTCGTTTGTATTATTGAATTGCATTTCTGCTCCGCGCATGCGTATATACATATAACTGCTTTAAGTTCTGGATACTTTTCTTGTATTTACCTGCGTATTTGGGGAACGGCTGCTAGCAAGTTGTGAGAACTTGTATCCCGATTTCATGTGCTGTAAATATGGCATTATAATATTTTTAAACAAAAGTTTTTTGTAAGGATTAACTCCTAAATGTTTGTGCAATACATAGACGAATTTTGTCTTTATTCGGCACTACATAGCCATTTTTGTGCTGCAGCTACAATCAAAACTCAGTGTAAATCTTTCCAAAAGTTACCTTCTGACATCCGCAGTGGACGATTTTCTTTCGCTAGGTGCAAATTTTACACCGGTACCGGAAAATATAGATGCTATAAATGAGGATATAAACTGTTTTGAAAAGCTTTTGTCCGTAAAAGAATTTCAGTGCACCTATTTCGCAACTCAAAAGAAAATCGCAGTAAGCAGCCTCGTGACTCCATAAGCTTCGTGAATTAAAAAGTCAAAAAGCAAATCAAGTTAGCAGCCTGCTTATGTACCAAAGATGCATGCAACTGCATTTCTGACCTTAAAAACAAAAGCATGAAAATGAAATGCCACTATTGTCATGGACTGAAATCAGTATAATCTGGAAGCTAATTGAGAATTAAACGGTTCGAAATATTATCAGCCTCTTTCAATACCAAATGGCAGTGGGTGGCCGAAAAGTCCGCTTTACAAATCTCTATATACCGCTCCGGTGGATTAGTGGTTAGAGTGTCCGCCTCAAATGCGGGAGGTTAGTGGGTTCGATCCCCGACCGAGTTATACAAAAACATACAAAAATGGTATTAACAGCTGTCTCGCTTGGCGCTCAATATTAGGAGGTTAGTGTTAAGACTGGTCGGCTTGGTGTCAGGATAATGTGACCAGGAGGGACATCATGTTACATGTCTGCGGCATGGTGACCCTATGCTAGACATCACTATAAACTGCCACACTGCAGACATCGTAGTGATGACTGAAAAATTGTTAAAGCTACGTTAAAACACACACACACACACACACACACACACACACACACACACACACACACACACACACACACACACACGGATCTCTCATAATCTCACTTCTGCCCGTGTAGGTTCGAGTCTCGGTGTGCCCAAAGTTGTTATATGGGAAAGCCTGCTAGTGGCCTCAAGCCTCCCGTGGGTAAGTGGTTCATCCCAGGGCTTTCCAAAGTTCTCCCTTCATCAAATATACTGGTCGCCATGTATGGAGTAAAATCCACAAAAACAAAAATCTTTCGAAATCAATTTATCACGATATATCATTGAAAGACAAATATGAACACTGGAAATTACACGAAGACGGCTTATCAGACAAAAAAAATTTGATAGATTGAATCAGAAAAATGAATCCAATATATTTTTATCTTTTGAACAAGCTGCAGAAAATATGACTAAACAACGAAAGGTATTGTAGGAAATCTATTATTTCAGATTGTTTTTGGGGAGAGAAAGCATATTGACGAATAGATATATTTTATTTAAATCTTTTGGCTTAGAAAAAAATGTTTATGTATTTAAGTAAGATACAAATAATTTTCTCGGAAAACTGAGTAAACGTCAACCTCGCAAAGAGTTAATTTTAGTTATACAGATATTGATATCCTTGATGCTAACATCGAGCATCGTCGTGCTTTGGCAGTTAGTAGAAATGTAATGATTTTGATAATTCGCAGCCAAATCGACCGGATGATCAAATTTTAAAATTACTGAAAATTTGTGTTGCAAAGATTAGTTTTCTTGCTGATTTATTTATATTTTCTTCTTTTTACGCACATTCAGAAGTAGAAATATAAGTGTTTCTTTCCTGGATCAATAACTCGCCATTCGTCAATGAAACATGAAACGAAAAGTAGCATCGAAAGTATAGAACTCTTTGATTTAATAGTGGGAAATAACTTGGCAAAAGGTGATAATCTCAATACAAGTGTGTATATTAAAGAAAAACTGAATCAACTCCGTGAACACATAATATTTTTGTCATCCACGCAGTGGTATAAGTAGATTTTAACCCAAGACACATTCTTTCCGGTATAGACGTACCTGACCGTAACTGGCTAATTTGCATAATTTTATCTATATCATACCTTGGGGACATTGTTAAATTTCAAACACCGCTGTTCCTCTGGACATAAAACAACGAACAAGAATTGTATGAAGCGTGTTCATTGCGTTTGGCAGGACTATGTGAAACATGTTACAAAACAAGTGAACAAAGCAAAATCAATATTAGCAACAAAATGCGCGTAATAATTCCGTTCTTTGTTCATTTCAAAAGGGTTTGACCTCCACAACAAAGTTGGCTAATGAAAATTGTAGTGATTTGCCACGACAAATTCCTGAAGCGTTTTGAATATTCACTTTGATTACAGCTTACAAATGAAGAGACATCTTAGTGAGTTCCAAATTAAAAAGAATCGACAAACCTGATTTTGTATTAAGTGTGAATGTAATGTCTGTGCATGATGTTCTAATGACTTCAGATCTAAGAATATAGTATAAATCTTGAAAGGAGTTAGAAATTTCAAAATTAAACATGTTTAAAGTGATACGCAAAATATAATTTATGTAGTGTACTCATTAAATTTCAGGGAGCCAAACGAACAGAAAACCAAACGAAATGTACGCGTTAAAATTTATAAGCAGATTTAGGACATAGGACTACAAAGACAGACATAGGAACTATAAGGACGATGTGACTTAATGTTATAAAAAGGTATAACGAACATAGGGCCAAAATTTATAGGGAAAAGGGATTGGGCTTGGATAGGGATGGAACAGAGATGACGTCACGGTACTGGACATTGGAAACAAGGTTGCAAGTGACTGACCTCAATCGGGTTAAACAGTGACAGGGGTGGAAAAAAGATTTTTTTTATAAATTATAATATATGTTCCACCGAAAACTTCCGCGCCGTATTGACCAACAGTAACCCTGAAAAGTGCCTTTGTTTTATTTTTATTAACACTAATCAATTAACATAGAGTACTATGCACGATATTCTTCTCTTTCTCAAACTTTGTCTGACCTTTGGGAAGTAGATTACGACTCTCGTCATACAGCATTACCTCTCCAGATTTTCTTCGTTTCCAAAGGTCTGTATCAGTCATCTGAGTGATAGCCAATGATTATTTGGCATACATGGGATAATTCGGGTTGAACTGCATCGACGATAGGAGAGTAGATTTTCGACATTAGTCCATATCTTGTGACGAGAGCAGGTGAATGGAATGAGGATAACCGCGCCTATTTATAGTGGAAGAGCGGATCGAAACGGACTGAATTTTTCACCAGTCGTTATAAAATTCAGTCAGAATGTGGTGTATGTCTTTCAATCTGAATATAGTTGCATGTGACGTCACATTCCGAATATAGTTGCGCTAGCGTCTGTGCGCTGTGAATCCATGCGTTAAAGTTAGATCATGGCGGAAACCAAGAAGACGATGAATGGGGGTGCACCGGCCGTGGAGACGAGAAGCGATGGCATAACAGCAGTTACCAAAGCATACACGGTCCTCCTTCCAGCGGAGACTAATTTTAATTGGGATGTAGTGGAATTTTTCTCTTCTTCGCAAGAAATTGTTCCGGTGCCAGACAGAAAGAAGAACTGGACAATTTTTTTGCAACAGCAGAAAGAAGTAGAACAAATTTTTCTCATTCAAATGCAACAACAAGAAGAGGTAAGAACAAACGATAGGAAAAAGAAGAAGCAGAGAGAAAACAAGACCTAGGAGATAAGAAGGACGGTGAAAGTCAAACTGTGATGGTACTCTTAGATATTTTAGCAGAGTTAAATAGCCTGAAACAAATATATCAAACTTCTTTAATACGATCCAAGAGATAAAGAACTTTCCGAGCCAAACAGTCCAATCTTGTCCACTCACCTGATACGCCTGAGATACACATCCTAGTGATTTCTACCAAATCATCGACAGTAGAAGGTCCAGAAGTAGGTTTTCCCGGTGGCAAAGGGATAAGGTAGTTGAAGTTTATTTCTTTCCGCTCCTGAGGTTTTTCTTAAACAAACCAAGCACCCAATGGTCCCTTTCAAGGCTACCCATCTCTCTCTAAAAGAGATATTCATTTGCCAAAATCAATTAAAACTAAAAATCCATCTTTTGCTTTATGACGAACGTGTGTGAGTGCGTGAGTGTAGGTCCTTATTCTAAAAAATCAAAACTAGGAGACACATACGTGGTTCGTTCAGGTCTACTCTCATAGAATTTAATTTACAATCCAACGTCACAACACATCACTAAAAAGTTCATTTTTCTTTTGTTTATCTTTTCACTCGCACTTTTTTGATATTTCTTCACTGTCACAGGTTTTTCCTCTTCTTCGTCACCTTATTATCACCTTTTTTCTCTTTCTTGGTGTATCTGGGTTCTTCCATTTTGGATTGCACCTCTTTTTCCTTTTCTGAACTCCTCTCTTCCTCCTACCTCTGTTATTTCATGGGGCATTGACGACAATGCCCTTTCTCATGACAATAATATAAGGCAACTTGACTTTTGTTTCTTTTGACACTAGTCTAGCTTTGACATTGTGGATATTCAGAAGACCAATACCCTTTCTTCTGACAGATATAGCAATTATCTTGATTTTTAACTCAAAAGGACGGAAAGTAGTCCGTTGGCTTCTGAGACGAAAACCTTTGTATGACACATCGCAAATCTCTAATCAGACTTTGGATATGTGTGGGTTCTTCCAACTTTCTGGATGGCTTGAGAGTGAAATTAATACTTGGAGGAAAGACACTGATCCCAATATAGGGGATACTGGTCTTCCATTGAATAGTTTGACTTTTCTCATTCAAGATGAAAAGACAGCATCATTTTGTGAAGAAAAGAGAAGAAAGTAAGAGGCAGAAACGTAACCGTATCGCCTAGCACAGTGGCTGAGGTCTTGGATCAAATCCATGCAAGCGATTTTGAAGATAATATGAGTGAGCCAGAATCTAGATCAGGAGAGTCTACGTCAAACGAAAGTCCACCATCAGTAACCCCTACAAACTATTACCAAATTCAGGAGACGAATAAACGCTCCTCTAAAACATTTAGAACCACGGCCTACACGTCTATGGTGAAGTTTACAGATTTAAAGTCCGACGTACTGCTGTAGAAAACGGGTTCGCTTGACACTTTCTATTTATCACGACAGTCTGAAGTCAACCGTTTGGATCTAGTTTAGCAGGCCATCAGAACTGACAGCTTGCGAAGTCATCGACAAGATTCAACATATGCAGCAGTCCAACGAAAAGTGTCACATCATTGATGGAAAAGTGACAGTGCATATGGCCCACGTTTTTATTACCAAAGAAACTGGACACAAAAAGGTATTATTGATGGACAGCATTCGCAGCACCAAGTGCAGCCTCGTTCAAATTAACAACATTCAAGACAAGATGTGTTTAGCCTGGGCTATCGTTGCAGGACAATCGTATGCCCAAAAGAACGACAAGGCAGAATGGAAACAGCCTGAGAGAACATTCGAAAATCGAACCGAGCCAATCAACGAAGAGAAGCAGATCTCCTGCTATAACAAGTGAGGCTGTCCAAAAACACCCACTGTGGCATTCCTGAAATACAAAAATTGCAAGACGTCTTTGCTCCACGCTACACATTGAAAGTACACCCTCAAGAAGTGCGAGGAGGTTTGTTTTTCCTAGGCAAAAATTTCAGAGACGAGAAATACATTCACGTCTATCATAACGATGAAGATTTAGTTCTATGCCATTACCAATATTACCGGACTCA